GCACAATGTGACGTGGCATAGACAACAACGCACAATGTGACGTGGCATAGACAACAACGCACAATGTGACACAACATAGACAACAACACATAATGTGACGTGTCATAGACAACAACGCACAATGTGACACGGCATAGACAACAACGCACAATGTGACACGGCATAGACAACAACGCACAATGTGACGTGTCATAGACAACAACGCACAATGTGACACGGCATAGACAACAACGCACAATGTGACGTGGCATTGTGCGTTGTTATCAGCTATAATATATCTGTGATGGAGCCTGACGATGCACCTGGTCTGACGTGCTTCATGACGGCGCAGTGAGCCGCTGACGAAGTCTCGATGGCATACTTCATTATTTCTATTTCAATGGGAGACTTGGTCACTCGCCTGCAATATAACAATTAAAATTAATAATTCTCAATCCACATTAATAACTTGATATTTCACTTGAACTGATTTCAAAACACAGAAGTTTCTTAGAACTGTTGAAGCTTTGGTAAAAATCAATCATAACATGACCTGTTTTTTGAAACCTAACATGACCTCTTTTGATAAATCTTTGAATGCAGAATATGCGGAGGAAAATTTTGTAGTTCCAATTAGAAACAGCCAATTTCCAATGTTTTTATATTATGCTAGAGTAATTTCGAAAACATCATTTCATTCAATTAATAAGCTAAAATATAATTCTGTGCGTGTCAAATGAAAGGAAAAACTCACAGCTCAGACAGCTCGGTGTGCAGAACGCTGCTGTCTACTGAGAACCTGAGAAGAAGAAGTGCACAATAGAAGTCCACGTGTTGAGTACGTCAAACTATTACTCGTTCAAATGTCTACATAAATTAAATTTTTTACATAACTGAAACACTTAAATTTACACGACGTTTTAATCCGTTAAACGAAATTTTAACACAGTATTCTCTGAGTGTTTGTAGCTAACTTTTTCATTTTTAAACGAGTCCTCTTGATGATTTTTTGGTATGCGCTTAGAAGAAGCCAATACTAGACCCGTTCTTATTTACGCTTCACTCAAAACTCTCAGGAATTCACGCTCCAGAGAACCTGACTGCCTTTCTTTAGCAGTAACAAATTCTGAATGCCAAAAATTCATTGCGCATATGAAGAGTTGACAGAGTCGTGAGAATGTGACTTTCTTCATAGGGTAGCACCACCGGGCCTATATACATTAAGAACCGGGCGTATAAATAGACAGTCGACTATGAGAACGAACGAGGTTATTTAGCACTCGTTATTTTTAAAGGTAATAGCGCGCCGGTTTATAAGCAAGTGACAGTACACGGAATATTATCTATCCATCGCACGAGTCAACAAACTCGATGAGTAATTGTACAGCAGGATGGCACAAATCTGTTGCCCTAGTGGCACCTGAATTCAGGTCTCGTCCTGGTTTGCACCACAAGTCCCACACAAAGACGTGCGAGAGTTACGTTACAAAAGCTTTAAGTGCGCTTGACGTTCTCAATTCGATACAAACTTTTCGATGCCGGCGAACTGGGCGGCGCTAGTAGTAAGCCCGCTGTCGCTGTTAACTCCTACCTAGAAAAAATACACCATGAATTCATTTAAAAAATTTATGAAATCTGTCTCACTACTAACCAAAGTCCCGTAAATAGGAGAATTTGTTGACCAAATTCTGGCCACAGATTAAAATGAGGCCAAAAAAAGTTGTTTCTAGGTTCCACATGACAAGTTTTAAACTAAAAACAACGCCCGAGGTTCTGTGTATATCGTCCACTACGCTGTACCCGACAATGATACTGTCTGCACCGAAATATAATCTTTAAAAACGATCTATGCTACTCTTTCAGAACACATTTATAACACATTTATATGCAAAAGCACTGCCAACGTTGCATAAGATGAGTGAAACATTAGATATACGGTCACTGTATTAATTCAGTTTAGAATTAAACATATGGATACCTAAAAGCTTTGCACTGGATGACCAGTTGACTGAGAAAATGACACTTTGACTTGGACCGCTACCCATTTGTTTCAGTGGTGAATAGTGTAAGATTTGTGAGCATTTCGTCTTATCCATTCAGAGTGTCTTTAAACGGCACATATTCATAAATGCATTATATTTATTGCAACAGAAATTGTAATGCACAATATTTTAGATACGCATGAAGCAATGTACGTTGCCTCGCGAGACGTCAGTGCCACCAGCGAGTCGAAAGCTAGTCAGAAAACAGATTTATCTGTTCACTTGACACGCCTGACTTGACAGATTTAACAGACTTGACACTATCCAACGAGTTTAATAACACAGTTGAGAACTAGATACTACTTCAGACCTATGAAATTATATAATAATGCAAATGACACAAGCTTGGCACAACAAGGAAGTTCAGAAGTTTGATACTCACAAGCGTGAGAAGAACTGACGGCTTGATGTCCTCGAGAACCTTGGGCAGCTGCAGAAAAATACCATCTATTATTTTCCAAGCATCAATATAGGCCGACTATACTCACCTAGCTTACTTTGGTACAGTTATAATCTAAACACAGTTGATAAATATCGGCACAATAAAAAAAAACACATACTAATCCACCTGGGGTGAATACAACTGGGTTTGTCAGCATATAAACCTCAACTTTCCGGTTACTTTGAAGTATTTCCGCACGAATCAGTCCACCAAATCCTGTCAACTGTCGGTAACTCTCGTTAACTACTTTTCCATTAGATAACCCAATTTTTTTATTCCGTTAACGACTTGCCTAGCTTATAAGCAATGTTATCAGTAGAAAGATTGTTGTATGCATACCATTATAGCGTGGTTACTCACTTCATCGACATAGAAGACGCGGTCGACGCTATATCTCTTCATAAAGTCGTGCGGGGGGATGATGCGCCCCATCACCACGGCGTAGGCGTCGGGCAAGCGGGGGCAGAAAAGCGTCGTGCGGCCGCTGTCACTCTCCACCACCCCGTACCATCCAGGCTCCAGGACACCAAACAACCAGTGGAAGAATGACTCCTGTCAACAATAATTATAATCACCAACGAAGGGAATGAATTAGAAGTAAATTAAAGTGAATATTGCAAGGAAAACAACGAATGAAACGTGTTATTCTCATTGTTTTGATTAGTTCTTACAACTGCTTCTGAATATAGACACTAATAAAGCCAGGAGAAGTTTCTGTGCCGGTCCCTGACCTGTCTGAAGACCCAAGTACAGTCAGTAGCATCCCTAGGCAGCTCGTCGCCACCCTGCAGGAGCACGACACTGCCCTCCTTCACCGCCTGCGTCGCGCGCAGCTCTGCCAGACGCTGCACCAGGCGCTGGCGGTTGTGCGCGTGATGAGACATGGGGATACGCAGGGTGTGTTCCCCCATGTCGAAATGCGCGGCACCATCGCTGTACCTCGGGGCCGACACCTCCCTTGGGGGTCACAGCAAAAATGGTAATGTAGAAACTGAGGAGCGCTGTGCATAAATTCAGCTGACCTTTCAGTCAACACCTTTATGCGTATTATCAACCTAAGAATCATGCAAATAAATTAAAATTTGTTGTGAACCATTCACGGTTTCAGGACTCGCGGTGTTAGCCACAGAAGCACCAGGCTATATTCGTGCGCAGCTGACCTCTCAAGAACCACTATTCTTTATGCCTGTTTACGGGACAATAGTAGCAGCAAGTATAACTTTCAAACACTAGCCGCCACTATTTACCGTGCTATTGGCTTCGTGAATAGGTGCTTCTGGCAATCAAAGAACTCGATAACTTTTTACACGAGGCCAGTAGCAGGATAAATAGTCGCAGTACCGAATGAAGTAGTAGCGTTTTAAATGCCTCGCCATGTACAAGCATCTATTTATGTCAATTTAGGCATTCTGAGGTAATATGATATCTAACTTTTTTTAATATTCACAACCAAATGCAAAATTAGAGTGAGTGCTGATAATATTAAAATACTTAATTCTTTAATTAGAGCTCTTTTATTTCTGAATAACACTACTTGTAAATGATACTAACAATTCTTAATAGCATGTCACAATTTTCGTAGTGACATTTCAGTGAATATCGATGGGAGACCAATGTATATAGCGAGTAGAAAAACTGTGGAGGTGGATGCGTTCACTCACAACGCATGAGGACGCGCGGTGAGTGTTTATGAATTCTACAGTTCGGTATCACAGTTAAGTTAGTATTAGAAAGTGGTCGTTAGTGGCAGCTGAAGGTCAAGTTTGACGCATGAATTAGTAAGTGGTCTTTAGTGGCAGTTAAAGGTCAAGTTTGACGCTTTAAAAAATCGCGTTCGAGGGGATAAAGTATGAAAAATATGTAAACTGAATTGCAATGGTATTTGAAAATCTGGTTGGCCAATAACTCACCCCAACAAAACCGAAGTTCTTTCCGATCTGAGTGTCGGAAGGAAATCGGAGGGAAAATTTTTCAACGCATACATAAAATAATTAAAACGGTAATAACTCTGCAGTTACATTAAAATGACTGAGATGCAATATAAATCTGTAAACGTACCTCTTGGTGACGGAAGCCATCTTGCGAGCTAACAGATTATCTTTAGAGATGAACAAACGCGCCCGTGTCAATCTTAGTGCCACAGAGAGCATCAACTATTCATCTGAAACAATAAATGTAAATGGAACATCATTATTGCACGTTCAAATAAAATGACGTCGTTACGGACTACGTCGGTCTAACAAGAACCTCGTCACGGCCGCCGATTGAGCTCACCGAGGTAAGCTAACGAGCATTGCTTAATATACAGTCACGACACTTACGACCACGACAGCACTTACGACCACGACAGCACTTACGACCACGACAGCACTTACGACCACGACAGCACTTACGACCACGACAGCTCACTTACGATCACGACAGCACTTACGACCACGGCAGCACTTGCGACCACGACAGCACTTACGACCACGACAGGAGTGACTGTACGACAGATGCACAAGCAAAGCAGGTCAAGAAACCACAAACGCCGCGGCCAACGAACCGCTCACCAGCGCGCATCACACTTGTCTTGTGGAGGTGCTGGTGCTGGGACACTGCATCACAAACTGGGGGAAGTTAGTGTTGTGGAGGTGCTGGTGCTGGGACACTGCATCACAAACTGGGGGAAGTTAGTGTTGTGGAGGTGCTGGTGCTGGGACAGTGCATCACAAACTGGTGGAAGTTAGTGTTGTGGAGGTGCTGGTGCTGGGACAGTGCATCACAAACTGGTGGAAGTTGTTCTGGAGCAATTTGGCAATGAATTTAGGTAGCGGGGGGAAGGTGTACTCATTGTAGCCAAATACAAAAAATTTTTAAACTATCTGGATATTGCCAAGTCGATAGAAATAAATCAAACTATTTTCAGATATCAACTCCAACAACAATGTTCAGAATTTTTTGTTATGCAACTAATTATTTGAAACAAAAAACCAAAAGATGAGTACAATTAATCAATTAATAGAGCTAGACTAGTATTTTCTAGCATTGTAGTCTTAGCATTTAATATGTACCATTGTAGGCTGTACATTCTGTGCCTCAAAGGATTTACTAAACATATCACATTTGTATTGAGATCATGAGGGCTTGATATGCAATTGATACAAGCCCAAACCATGCATATTCTTAAATTTGGTGTGGCTATGGATCTCAAATTTCCTAAAGTAATTGTTCGAAGTTTTTTCACTAATGAACATTGTTTTATGAGCAAAAGAGAACAGTAAATGACAATATTTGTAGCAAGAAATATAACAAAAGGGCCTGCCAGCACATACCAAGGGAATTAAAACATCTTCAATAATAGAATTAAAGAGAATTAAACTAGTGGAAGTTTTGCAGCTGCAAAAAGGCCAAGAAAATATATTACTTGGCTGTCAATGACACAACTTACAATCTTACATCAGGTGCTTGCCATAAAAAATAGCATTATCATCAAATATCAGCTGATCAAAAATACAAATTGCAATATTAAAATGATATAATAAATATTAAAAATTTCACTTTATGAAACAGATTGTCAGGATGGAGGCTGGCTGTGCTGGCAACATAAGAGTTGTGGCTAATCTAGCAAAATTTTCCAAATTTCACAGTCTCACAGGTGGGCAATTGCTATTTTCAAGAATTTTTTAAAGTAAACTACGCAAGGGTTATAGGAACGGGTGGATTTTTCTGCAAACAGTCATTTTTGTCTTCTGTCAGCGTGGCTTCAAGCTCAGCCTGTTTTTCCTGATTGGTATTATTTTGGTAGCAAGTAGTGACAACTTGAACTTAGACATATATGTTGTGTGTTCAAGACCCCATCAAGCTGTGAATGTTCTGCGATGTTAAGAATCAGCGACAGGCCTATGGCCTAATAAATGCTGAAACTGCTATTATTATATGTTAGATATTTTTCACACTTGTCAGAATTGGGATTGGGAACCACCATTTTATAGGTATTCATATAATGATGATAGAAATAATGAAACCTTAAAATAATATATAAAAATGGAATAATATATAAAAAGCAATAAACATTTGCAACTCATAAATGAAATTAATGGGAAAAATGGTTATGCAGTTTTGTAAGAAATACCAATTTGATGCAAATAATTTACCTATTATATTGTTTATTTATTTCAAAATATAATCCCCATTCCCCAGGGTCCAGGATAGAATCCCCATTCCCAGGGTCCAGGATCTCACAGTTTTAGGCTTTTATAAATTTAAAGACATAAAAATGATTATTAATCATCAACATTATTGAATCTTGATTCTTGAATTGAACAAATTTAGTGTGCAAGTGAAAGATTAGGATAAGATTGTCTTGATGATGATCATGGGTTATATTGCAGAAATTGTTTTGGAGATTGGAGCATCATCTAGCTACCTATTTGAGCTCTTATTGGATCAACTCGTCAAGACGTCAACATAAGTAAAAAATAATAGCATACATCTAAAGGAAAATTTAACACTATAAACTGATTGTGTTTGAAATTTTTAATAAGCTTCTACTACGGTAGCTAATATAATCACATATCCTGAAGGCTGGTTCACTGTCTTTATTGCACGAAAAACGATTTACGCTAAATGGGAAATATCAACAAGCGGTCGTCGCCCAAGGACCGGTGCAGTCGACGATCTGCTACCGAGATGGAGGGATTGGGTGCGCTGAAGGACGATGCTGCCTTCAAGGCTATTCAAGATTATTATAACAAAAATGGAGCATCACTCAACATTCCAAAGCTGTTTAAGAATGATCAAGACCGTTTCAAGAAATTGAGGTGAGAAACACTGAAGCTATACAAGTGATCTTTCTTCTACTAACTTGACTAGCCGGATTCCGTGTCGCTTGTCAGATGGTCTATCAGCTGATAGTGCAAGCCCCTCCCATATTATTGTTGTTTACGTAAATTTCGTTACTGTAAAATGTAAATGACGTTATTCTACGTGTTGAGAATTTCTTCTATCTCACGAGGCGTTGTTTTAATTTCGAATATGAAGTGCAACATTTTTGCTGACCTTCACTGACCTTGACGGCTTCAAGATCACTTACCCAAAATACATATGCCACTTTCACGTTATTTTCATGTTTTTAATAATTGAATTACTTCTTAGTAATATTCAAATCGAAACTATAATGAAAACTTGATACTACTACTTCATAATTTCATATTTTAAAAGTTTTTATTTATCAGATTCTTCGCTGTATTTTGTGACAGGATCATTTCCCTCTCGTATTAGTGTCTTGTTCTGAAATTTTATGCAGTGCATAACCTCATTTTTTTTTTATTTCAGTGCAACCTTAGATACTCCAGCAGACGGCCCGATTCTTCTCGACTTCAGCAAAAATCGGATTGATGATGAAGGGCTTAAACTTCTGCTTGATTTGGTGAGTCTTTAATATTTTGTTTACATAAATGTTTTGTTTACATAATACAGGGTTATTCTAAATGATGGACCTAATTTAGTAAATTCGTATTTATGCAAGTATGATTTCAAAATTAATGATTTATACACCAATGGGGAAAGGGAAAGATTCCAAGTTTTTTTTTATTTTGAAATGTTCAATGTGTCCCCATTGTGCTGCACGGCAAACATCTAAACGGTAGCCAAACTCGTCCCACACACGAGAAAGCACATCTTCTGTTGGAGTGCACCGTAGCATTAATACGGTATTACGGTTCTTCAGATCAACCGAGTTGCTGGTAGAGGCGGGAGGTAAACAGAGTTGCTGGTAGAGGCGAGACGGAAAAGAGTTGCTGGTAGAGGTGGGACGTAAACAGAGTTGCTGGTTGAGGCGGGACGTAAACAGAGTTGCTGGTAGAGGCGGGACGTAAACAGAGTTGCTGGTAGAGGCGAGACGGAAAAGACGTAAACAGAGTTGCTGGTAGAGGCGAGACGTAAACAGCTTTCTTGACGTAACCCCATAAGAAATAGTCACATGGGGTGAGATCAAGTGATCTCGGTGGCCAGAGGTATAGAGCCAGATCTTCATTTCCTACGCGTCCCAGCCAACACATGGGAAGTAACTTATTCAAAAAGTTTCGTACACTGCAGGACAAAGGGGACATACGTATTGAACATTTATAAATGTGTAAAAAATTTTATATATTTCTATTGGCGTATAAATTATTTATTTTGATTTTATATAAACATGAATACTAATCTATTAAATTGGGTCTATCATTTACAATAACCCTGTACACCTACAGCTACACTCTCCCTAGGTCACCTCGTTCCAAATGTACTCTCTCGGCCTCTCCTAACCACAACCAAGGGTGCTATCGAATGTCACAAGAAAGGATAATATAGCCTAGGCTATTAACTTATTAACCAGATTAACTTATAGCTTATGAAAAAGATTGCAAACACTTTGTAATGTTAGTAAGATGCGCATTGTTCTCTTCGTAAGTGCAAGGCGTTACCTGGATGTAAGGCGTTCCGTTAATTTATGATTTCTCCTGAATTAAGTACGTAAGAGATCAATAATTTTATTTGTATATCACAAGGCCGTGTTAAATTTTATAAACGTATCTATTTGTCCTTAACGACCAGTCGTATAAAGATGATATATCAAAATTTGAGTGCAATTTCTCTAAGTAAAATACTTGAAGCCATGTAAAAAATGTTTTACCGCCTAGGACATTTCCTCGCCACTGACTTCCTGAACTGCGTGACCTCGAGAGTCAGGGTCCAGTAGCTCGACCCTTTGGTCATAATGGGATATGGGTGGTTCCCAATCTTGTTCATCTTGTCATTAAAGTTTACCTGACACAATAATAATGTTGCTCCTTCACGTATGTCAAACGTTATATTTATGTGTGGCTAAAATAAAACTTCCGCCTCTCTTCCATAACCCTCGAAAAAGACAGTTTTTATTCCCTCTAGGGGGGTAGCTTACCTCAAGTTTGCAAACAGCTCCGTCATCGTCATTCATATAAAAAAAAGATTTTATTGTATTTTAAACTAATAATTACTGTATTTTGTTTAACTTCAATGATATTGGGAATCAACTAAAATGTTATAATTTTGAACTGTAATGCTGTTAATTACAAATGTTGTGCAGGCTCGCAGCCGTAAGGTGCCAGAGGCACGAGATGCGATGTTCAGTGGCGCACCAATCAACTTCACGGAGAGTCGCTCGGTGCTACACGTGGCGCTCAGGAACAGGAGCAACACACCCATCACTGTGGGGGGGCAGGACGTAATGCCGGGGGTGAACGCAGTGCTCGACCACATGGAGCAGTTCTGTGACCAGGTACGTCATCATATATCATCTGAGTGGCACAGTGGTTACAGTTCAGAGTACCAGGATTGGCGCAGAGAGGCGCGGGTTTGATCCCAGCTCTGTACGTCAGTTTCTGCATGGTCAGAATCGGCGAGGAGGCCGGGCGGTTAAGCACAGCAGAATTGTAGCAGAGAGTTGCGAGTTCTAGACCGCAACAAGCTGTGAATGTTCTGTGATGTTAAGAATAGGCGACAGGCCTGCGGCCTAATAAACGCTGAAATTTCTATATTATAATATATGCAACGATGCTAATAGTCAAATTCACATGAAAAGCTATTAGCGTTTCATGCTTTATACTGCGCTTCAGTATTGACAAGGATTTCTTTATAAAATTTTTTACTTGAACCTTCGTCATATTACAACATCACATTTCGCTTAGTTGATAAAAACTCGGAACAGTCGTCGATAATTTACACCCTCTTGGGAGAAAAAGAATTGGTACAAAGGGGTTGAAATGGAAGTACTGGTTACAAAGGGGTTGGAGATGAAGTATTGGGTAATAGAGGTTGGGATGGAAGGTAAAATATTATTGGTAGTATTTTATTACTACTACTAATTGTAGTAACACACGCGCAGGTGATCTCGGGTGCCTGGAAGGGCTACACGGGCAAGGCGATCACGGACGTCGTCAACATCGGCATCGGAGGCTCAGACCTGGGGCCTCTCATGGTGACGGAGGCCCTGAAGCCCTACGCCCGCGGCCCACGCGTGCACTTCATCTCCAACATCGACGGCTCCCACCTCGCCAACACCGTCAAAGTCAGCACAAGTCATCTCAACATCTGACTTTTCGTTTTTTTTCTCAGTGCCCACCATATTACCAGGAGTCCGTTAAAAGTTTAATAAGAAATCAAATAAATTCATGTTCTTTCAGTTTATCATCTACCAGGACGTCAAGAAATTTAACCTAACTTAACTTGAATTTAACTTAACCTAAATTAACTTAAATTTAAACATCTTAACATTAATTTTAAACTTAACTTAATATTTTGGTGCAGTTGTTGTGCCCAGAAACGACGCTGTTCATCATCGCCTCGAAGACGTTCACGACGCAGGAGACGCTCACCAACGCGTCCTCCGCCAAGACCTGGTTCCTGGAGGCCGCTAAAGATGTGAGGGAATGGGGCTGCTGGTAGGAATAGCATTATGGAAGTGGGGGGGAATGAGGATGCTGGGAGGAATAGCATTATAAATGTGAGTGGAGCAGAATCTGTTACTATCAGAGTTTGAATTCGTTTTCTTAGTTAATCTAAATCATCATTATGCACTTGATTTGGTCTGATTAGGAATACTAGAAAAAAATGTAATTAAACTGAATGGATTCATTGGAATTGAAAGTTTAAAAAAATTAATTAGTCATAGTTGATTCAAAGTTATGTTTTTCGTTTAGGTTCCAAAACCCGCCACAACGATGACACTTTAATTCATCTTTTTGATTTTATTAATGTAATTATAAGTAAATTCGTCAATTGGACGCTGTTTACAGAAATCGTTGGTAGCCAAACACTTCGTTGCGCTGTCGACGAACGCTGCTAAAGTGAAAGACTTTGGCATCGACGAGGCGAACATGTTCGGCTTCTGGGACTGGGTGGGCGGACGCTACTCGCTGTGGTCCGCGATCGGTCTCTCCATCGCCCTCAACATCGGCTTCGACAACTTCAAGAAGCTGCTGGAGGGCGCCCACTTCATGGACCAGCACTTCTGCTCAGCGCCTCTACACCAGAATGTGAGGTCTTAACTAGCATAACAAGAATCAAGAACAAGTACAAGAATCGGCGACAGGCCTATTCTTCAATGCCAAAGATACTATACTATAATGACATCGGCGTTAAAGAATAGGCTCGGTTGGCCTAACATTCGAAAACTGTCCTGTGGTTGGAACTTTAGCTGAAGAAACATTGCTTTGAATTGAACGTAAGTAAGCAACACTGTTTATGATTAACTTCCTACCACCAGATTTGTAGTAAAATATTAAGGGTTGTAACCAATTTAATGATTACATCTTCATCACGATCAATATTTTGTAGCTCTCTCGAATTTGTGTTTCAAGTAAATGTAGCTATAAATTCATGATCATATTTTTTTCTTAAATTATTTTTTATAACACAAAGTCTCTTCAGCGTTTATTGACGACGTCCTTTAGATTTTGTGATTTTGTAGCTGCCTGTGTTGTTGGCCGTGTTGGGGATCTGGTACAACAACTTCTACGGCGCCGAGACGCACGCGCTCCTGCCGTACGATCAACACCTGCACCGCTTCGCTGCATACTTCCAACAGGGCGACATGGAGAGTAATGGCAAGTGAGTCATGGTAATGCTGGAGTAATAGTGGTAATGCTGGAGTAATAGTGGTAATGGTGGAGTGATAGTGGTAATGGTGGAGTAATAGTGGTAATGGTGGAGTGACAGTGGTAATGGTGATGTAATAGTGGTAATGGTGGAGTAATAGTGGTAATGGTAAAGTAATAGTGGTAATGTTGAAGTAATAGTGGTAATGGTGGAGTAATAGTGGTAATGGTGGAGTAATAGTGGTAATGGTGAAGTAATAGTGTTAATGTTTAGTAAAGTGGTAATGTTTAGCAAAGTGGTAATGTTAATTAAGTACCTAACTGTGGTGTCAGCGTTTATTAGGCTGATTATACTAGGTATCGCCGAATTCTTAAAGATTATTTTTAGATTTTGGTGCGTTTGTATGGTTATGACAATGCAAGGGTTTAATACCCTGTGTGTCGGCATTATTGTAATGAGATTTCATGTTTTATTGTAATGAGATTCCAATAAAACTTTTTCAGTCATTACTTAGTCGGATTCTGTTATTAATTTAAAGTATAATAAATAAATAACATTCTCTGATTTCAATGAAAACAATATTATACGAATGAGGAAAAAACATTTCACAAATTATATAAACCGTCACACAATTGACCATGAATAGAACATTTTAGTGGCTTGCATTACAATACGATGCAGCTCCAGTGACGACTAAAGCTCGATAAAATTGTCTATCGTGTTCAAGTATAAACTGAATCTCTATGTTTCGGAAGTGTGAACTGTATATTTCTACGTATATAATACCTTTTATTACGTTTTAAAATTCTCAAGCGAACTCGATACAAATATTTTTAATACGAACTCAATACAAATTATTGTAATATGAACTTGATACAAATATTTGTAACATGAACTTGATACAAATGATTTTAATATGAACTCAATACAAATGATTGACTTACTGAACATGATATAAATATTTGTTGTGGTACAGGTACGTGACCCGCAGCGGTGCTCGCGTGGACTACAACACAGGACCTATCGTGTGGGGGGAGCCCGGCACCAACGGCCAGCACGCCTTCTACCAGCTCATCCATCAGGGCACGAGGCTCGTGCCTGCTGACTTTATTGCCAGCGCCGTGTCTCATAACCCCATCGCTGCTAACCTACACCACAAGGTTATTATTGCTTACATGACATAAACTGAGGTATTAAACGGTCATATATTAAACATAGTTTATGGTTACGACTGTGTAAATATGAAGTTATCATTATTTGACCATTAACTTGGGGAAAACTATCTTGAATTATTGAGGATATTTCCAATCTTTCAGGGTTTAAATGACAAGCGGGGGATATAAGAACGTAGTTTTTTCAGTTAATATTTAGTTTGTGCTGAATTCTAGATTTGCATTGATGAGTTTAATATAATCAGTTGTAGTTACCAGTAATTCATTAGTGATCCGAGTCATTAGTGTTCTGAATAATTAGTGTTAATATAATTAGTGATCCGAGTCATTAGTGTTAATATAATTAGTGATCCGAGTCATTAGCGTTCATATAATTAGTGTTCTGAATAATTAGTGTTCTGAGTAATTAGTGTTCATATATTGCGCGATTGTTTACAGTTGCTGCTCGCTAATTTCCTCGCACAAACTGAAGCGTTGATGAAGGGTAAAAGCTCTGAAGAGGCGCGCGCTGAGCTTGAAGCCGCGGGCATGGAGAAGGAGAAGCTCGAGAAAATATTGCCGCATAAGGTAAGAATTTTTTACAAAACAAGAGAATGTTTTCAAGTCGTCGCCTCGAGTATATTCGTTCTGGAAATTGAAGTTATTTCAGTAACTTTCATATTGATGAATTGTCACTACCTTCACGTTAACAAATCGACTTTGATTTTGTTTAAATTTTGAAATAATATTTTAGTCAATGCGTAAAATTGAATAATTTAATAGAGTTAATGAGTTTGCGCGTAGGTAAGAAGGCCTGAACTTAAGGAGTGGGGCATGTTAAAAGAACTTTTAGGAAAATGCTGAGAGGCTTTTTCGAATTTGAAATGTTGTACTTTAGTCTGATGAGCTTTATTTTAGTCAATACTTGTGCTGACTGCACCAACCTGAAAAGTTTTTCTAAGAGTGACTGGGGCAAACAATGATATTCGTATAAACGGCCCGTCGATAGGACAGCTAAGTCTTATTATTAATATTTGTTGGCAGGTGTTCGAGGGCAACCGCCCCACCAATTCCATCTTGCTGAAGCAGCTCACGCCCTTCACCCTCGGGGCTCTCATTGCCATGTACGAGCACAAGATCTTCACCCAGGGCGTCATCTGGGACATCAACTCCTACGACCAGTGGGGGTATGCAAATATTACTAATTTTTTCTTCAGTTTATTAGACATTTCCAACAATTGTCTTTTTTCTTCGTACTGAAAGGGGAACAGTGATAAATGCGCGCGCGCGTTTTTTTTCATTATTCACAATGTAGACTGAATGCAAATCTACGAGTCAGAGATCTAGAAACGTTCGAAGATTACAATTAGTTGGTATATATGAGAAGTTTTAGAATACTGTTAAACATAAAAATTGATTGAAAATTCAAGTTCAAGATTTGACGAAAAATTGTAGTTCTACCGAATGCAATATAAAACACGGAATAACAGTATGTGTTTATTGCAATATTCGAGCCTCGATAGGCTCGAAAATTGTCATTATTTATGACCTGGTCCGACAGATTGGACAATGATTGGCCAAATCGTTCCACATCTCTCGCAAGAATAGGCTTATTTAAGCAATATATTTGTGCGCGCAAAATAAATACATTATTCCGCAGTGTGGAGCTGGGCAAGCAGTTGGCCAAAGCCATAGAGCCCGAGCTACAGGACAACACGCCCGTGTCGTCGCACGACTCCTCCACCAACGGTCTCATCAACTTCATCAAGAAGTGGTTGTAGATTTCTTCCATTAAGAAATTGCGTTTGATTCAGTTGTCTTGTTGATTATGTAAGTTAGACTGTATAAGTAGTTGATAATACTGTTCGAGTGGGTCTTATGACATAATAATAATAATGACACTACACGGAGCAATAACTGTTCCTTAAAATGTTAGTTGAAAAAGTTTGAGTTCGAAACGTGTAAATGCTTATGAAAAGTTGTAGAGCAGGGATAGAATTATCGGCTGAGACCCGCGCGTTCTGCAGCTATCTTGCAAGAAAAAATTTATAACTATCTTCACGCACCGCGACCTTTCGTTTACTTAATATTGGTCGTAAGTGCAAAATCTTGCCTCACATTCGTTCGTGTATGTTGTATCCTGGTTAAGTAGTTTCTTAGCAGTTGGGCGGAGAAATTCTTCGGCAACGATCATGGTAGTTATACTTAGCAAGATCTAGTCCAGTACTATAGAATCCTAAACCCTAATTGTTACAAAGTACGAACGGTATTCTGAAATAAAATTTCCTCAAGACAGATCGTACATATTTCTTCCAGGTTATTTTCGCATCACGTAAAGATCATGGGCTCTTGGTCAGCAAGTTCTTAACGAAATAACTCCAGGTGGTAACACTTTATATAATAAGCTTTATAACATTTCGCAGTTTATGAAATTAAAACCTCCAACTCTCTCTTTTACTATGTTTCCCTACTCATTCAACAACCAATTGCGACTGTAACAGAATCAAATTTGACAAATATAATTAGTGTTTGATAAAAAATTTAGAATCTGCTATGGCCAATTCTGCATTTGATATCTTCAGGTCAAGCGCTCGTCAAGTCATCTTACTAATCGTTAAATCTCAGGTCTCAGAAGCTAACATTAAGGTTTGTCATTCTTGTAAACTATCTTGTGGAGTTCCTCGGCCTGTTGGAGGGCGCCTTCCCAGGCTTCACAGTGACGCCCGAGAAATTCGGGAACTCCTTGACTGCCGTGATACGCGCCTGCCACATTGAGTTTCATTGAAAAAAAAAAAGATGCAAACTATGCTATAAATTTGATCTAACCTAGAAAAGATTTTCAACATAACCCATTCAGAGAATTTTATCCTAATACTCTTGCCGAGAATAAACCCCTCATGATACAACGGCTTATTTTCGAACATTCATTCCGCATGCCATGATAGTACATCTGGAAATCTGGCGCGTTTTTATAGATACTTTTGATGACTTTCACGGAAAAAATTTTTGCCACCTGTAATAATTTGAATAAATTGCACAACTTTACACCAGCAGCCTCAAGTATTTAGCTATGATCAGAATATTTAAAACATTACGGTATGAAACGTACAACTGGTAAGTTTCTGACCTCGACGTTTAACTCTTGTCAGACAGCATAGTTTAACAACGTTGCAACCGTACCGAGTGTGGTTATAGTTGCTCCTAAAAGATTCTTAGCCTTGTAAATTTTACATCATAACAGATATACGGTAAGTCTTCATAAAACGGAAGACGCTAACTGACCTGCAATGGCACCAGCCATAGAAGCAATGGTGTCTGTGTCACCACCCAAGCTGATGGCGTATACAATCGACCTCAGAAACTCGCTGTCACTCTGCACATAAAAGCAAATGTACCACACCGCAATAAAATACGAGCATATTTTATATTGAATGTAGCGCTTGAACACCTCTTCAATTGATGACTGCGAAATGCAATGAAATTATTATGCACCACACTATCATATTATGCATCGCACCGATATTACAAGACTATATTCAATATTAAATGCAGCGCGTGAACACCTATTCAAATGATGAATGCAAAATGCAATGAAATTCACAGCATTCGTCTCAGAAATTGTCATTTTTGCTTGGTAGATACGAGGAAATCGCTTAGTAGTTGTCTACAAGTTTCTATAAAGATACGCAAAATCTTTGAACATTACCTTAACCCTGTAACAAAAAAAACAGTTGCACTCACTTCAATGCCTTGTATGGGCTGGAGAGCGCGCAGGAAGGCATATATCGCCGTAGGTACTGAATTGATGGCGCTCACGTCGTTACCGAGTCTCTCGACGACCTCCTCCCGCGTGACCTGGTCACTGCGCCCCAGCAGCTCCTGCAGCACATGAAGGGAGTCCACAAAGCCACCGTGTCCTTCACCCTCGCTACATAAACTGGGGGGAAGATTCAGAAGATAGAATACAGTAACGAGGATTTGGCAGTTACACGTACATGAAAATCTTTACAAAATCAGGTAAGTGAGACTAAACTGACGAGAAAACAAATGAAGGACTTATTTACCATGAAATACTTGCTCATCGTGAGTAATGTTCAACACTTCAAAAATTCAATTATCACCGCGTAACATCCAAATGTTTTTGTTAACATTACACTTTAAACACTGAATTATCACCGGGTAACTTCCAAATTTTTTTGTCAACATTCTGACATAAGGAACTCTACTATTTAACAAGGTCGACAATTGTACACGCAGAAACAGGAACGGTATATACATCATAGCACAGCAATACTTAAATATTAATCGAATACCGTATACAAGAATGCAATAGAATATACAAGAATAATCTCAAGTCCTGACCTATAAAGATTATGACCATTGCATTGCAACAAATTTACAAGATTAACTATCAGAAATATCCGCCATGCACATTCCTATAAGGCATTCAAATTTCTGTAATAATCGTTCAATAAATAATAATTGAGAAGCATGCCAACAATTTGAAGGATTCCTTAGAAGTTTGTAAAATTGTTCAACAATTTATAAGCTTCACATATCATAAATCCATATGGCAAGGATCTAAGAGGAGAAATTGAACCAAGTGACACAACACAATTTTACTTCACCATTTCACTGATAACTATTGTCACTCTTGTAAGAAAAGTCACACCTACCAGTAGGTTCTGTCCCGTTATTATTTGCTAAGTTAATTAACAACCCAAAAAACTTGCTCTTCCAACGAGACGATCCATGAAGTATCCCCACGTCTTAGTGCTCATAAACTCTCAAATGAGGCTTTTGGGTTTTGTTAAAATGTGCAGTGTAGAGAATATAAAAAAAAACGCAAGATTGAGTGTCAAAGGACCAATGCAAACAAGCCTCGCCACCACAGCACATGTACATTGAGCAATAGTTAGCAATATCACTTAATAAACAAAGAAAGACCCAATAATTGGAACAACACTTTAGCATATCACCAATCATTTTCACTTATTAATGAACAATTTTAAAATTTACTGAGAATTTATGGTGTCTTCAATTATTGTGGTTTACTTTGCTTACCATCCAAACTCGCTCCAGGTTATCAGATAACTTGGGCAGGACTTGGCTGGACAGATGAAAGCCAAATTATTGTCTATGCTTTGGCAAGCGAAGTGCACTCACTCCTGGTCCTCCTCTCGCGGGTTCCGCATTTTAGACAGTGTGGAGATGAGGCCTTCGACGTACTCTTGTGGGTTCAGGGACGACGAGGGAGACAAGAGAGCATTCCTCACCGCCAAGCACTGCACAATGGAAGTAACATAGAATAGAAATATCGTCATAGGTTTCTGTTCATAAATAAAGTTTGCTCAAAAACCAATAACTGAGCAGGTATAATACATACCTACATCACATTGATAACTGTTTTAAAAAACAGTGAAAGATACGAACTTCTGAAGCAGAATCTGGGACATTGATGGAATTTAAACATGGATACTAAATCAAAGACAAATGTGTCATCAACAAACTATTCTTTGCATAACCTCAATTCTTTGATGAAATATAGTGTGGTTACATTTCATGTTGTGCACTTAGTAAGGAATCAAATTCGCAACCGCACTCCATACATAAAAAATTTTTTTACTCATCATTTTAAATCACAAATAATATTCTACAGGGTTCATTAATATAGATTTCTTCACTAATAGTAATTCATTAATAATTCAGCTTAGTAATAATAATTATTACTAAATTACGTACAACTAATTAGCACTAATTACTAATAAAGGTTAGCAGTAGTAACTTTGGTGCTAGTCTTGCAGCAATAGTAACTTTGGCGCTAGTCTTGCTGTGATGAAGTTGATACCTGAAGGATAGCGCCATTATAGCCCTGAGCGTGGCTGTGGGTGATGAGAGCTGAGTCACGCGCCATGTTGATGGCTTCTTCAGTACTGGCAGCGGCCGTGAACAGCGCCACGGGCGCCACGCGCATAGCACCTGCATGCAAAACAATTATAAGTTATTCTACTTATTTGAGATGGAAAAATAAAGCATTTAATGTATGAAGATAAATGGTAAAAATTTTGACCTGTAAAAATGGTAACGTGTAGGTTTACACAAGAAACATGCAAACATGTGACTCAGAGACTTGGATTTTGTAGTGAATGAATAACAATTATGAAGAGAACAATTACAATCTTTCTATAATTATTGTATTAGGTTTAAACTATCCACAAGTTTAATTTTGAATAAGCATGCTGAGCAACTTGATAATGGAAATAGGTTTATGTGAGAGATGGAGCACCAATAAAGTTAATGATAAAATTATTGATATAGGCAGTGCCTGAGTCCATTGTAGATAGGAGTTACTATGGTGCAATTTATGGCTATAATCACACATAGCATCACAATAGAAACAATATAAGTTGGACCATGGAAAGTTCTTGCCATTAGCACTGACAGTGCCATTCACAGAAACTGATCAAAATTTATATATTTCATCAATTCAATATAAATTCTTAAATACATCAAGTATTATTGATTTATGAACTTTTAATACTCAATTTATTGATTATTTGGACTTCTTTCATAGATTTTGACCAATCTGAACTTGGGATCCATTGCTGCATTGTATGGGTTTGGTGATTCACATTATTTTATAAGAGCAATGTCCTGAGATTACCTAGTAAGATTTGAGCTAATTAGATTTTTAGATTTAGGATTCCATTACATTATTGTTAAAGAGTGAGATACTATTGTGAAAAATTTATTGTAGATATTATGGTAATTTAGTATAGATATTATGGTAATTTAGTATAGATATTATGAATAATTTATTATAGATATTATGAATAATTGAATTGAACTGACCTCCATTTCCATACGAGCCACTGCCATCAAACTGAAGAGCTGCAGGTGCCCAGACATCCTTGAAGTTGGTCGCTTTCAAGGCAGCAAACACATTCACAATGTTGGCCCCATAGCCTCTTCTGGGTTCTTTGTAATATGCTCGCACAAACCTGCAAGAAAATATCACCTAAACAGAGAACTACTATAACAATGAGACCTTGGCTGTAATTTACATTGTTGGCTGAATTAGTAAAATTTAAAATTTCCAATGACTGGTGTTGCAGGAAATTTGGTAAAACTTGTAAGTATTTCCAGAGGCTCACAGCATTGGTGACAACATTTTGGTAATAAAATTTTTGTTCACAAATATTCAATAGCTTTACTAGTTCAAGTTTCTAATTCACTGAATTAACTATCCATAGAAAATTGTGTTCTCATGGATAAAATATAGTACTTACTTGTAATATCACAGGTTAGAATAATCATGTTTAAAAACTCAAAAAACCAGCACAACAACAAATATATAAATGGAAGAAGTATTAACTATCCTATATATAATGCTTCAAGCATACAGACACATAGGCTACCAAATTAGTGCAAGATCACTATAAGGTAGCAAGCAGTTGGGAACCTCAAACTCAGTTGGGAACCTCACTGTAATGCTGGCAGCATGTGATTGACTTCCTGACTGACCGCCACCCAACATGTAGTCCCATATACACCTTTATTGACAGTGAGGTCAACAGTACTATTGTGACTAAGCCACTGACATGAGATGCAATTGATCATGTACATCTCTTGTAAGTACTCACTTGAAATAATAAAATAAATAAATGTTATAAGTCGAATGATTAATTATAGTGAACATTCTATATTATTCTATAGCATATCAACTTACTTTTTAGCCATGTCAACTTCAGAGAAGCTTTTCTCATCAATGAGAGACTGAGCAACAGACTGTGTCATGGCAGTATCATCTGTAAATGCCTTGTAGGGAACTACAATAAAATAAAATCGATTAATTTTAGATCTTTTGCAACATAATGAACAGTTATTTACATAACTTGTGCTTCTGTTGGTGTTATTTTAAACTACACCCCTGAAGTTCAACATGGTATTTGGAAGGCTGGAATGCATCTTTAACATCATGGACATTTGCAAATTTGCAATCTTCGTATACATTGCAATTCATTAGTAAGTGACAGTGGAAGTTCCATACCACAAAATATAGATGAATTAATATAGATGAATTTCAAACTAGATATGAATAGAGGATCATTTTAACTTTTTAATATTCTAAAATATGAACAAATAACTCTGCAAAATCAGCATTTAATTTCTGAATGCAGTGAACCCAAAATTTTTTATTTAAAAGTGACCTTAATTATTTTTTGGTGCTTCCTTACCTCTGACTTTTGGGTCAGCCAGTTTGTTGATGTAGTTGTTAAGAACACTCAGAGCCACAGAGCTATCCATTTCAAAAGGCGCACCTAGGCAATCTCCAGCCAATGCGCCCAGCATGCAACCTTTAAATCTACCTAACAAAGCTTCAATACTAATGCCAGCCATAATTTTGGCAATATTTTGACCTGTCCTGTAAGATCAAAAATTTTTTTATTATTGTTATAATGGTTGTTATTACAATTATTATGAATTTCTTCACACCCATCCAGCCTAAATTCTTGCCCTAATCCTTTCCATGCACTAAATTTTGCTTTCAATTATCACTCCTCCTTGCAGGGTGGCAGCAGTCAGTGCCAGATGCCAGTCATGCAGCTGCTCTCTTCTGCTCTCCTAGTCCTACTGACAGCCCCAATTTCAATGCAATCCATTCATCTTTTTTTCTCGTATGTCATGACTCATGAGTCACAACATCAGCCAATCAGCATCACTCCTCTCATCCAGGCTCCAGCCACACAACTCCAGAATTTTTTGGTATCCCCAATTTAGGGTGCCAATGAAATTCATGAGACCAAAATCATGTACATGAAAAAACAGTGAAAGCATGTATGCAAGTAATGCAATTACATGATATATGGCCACTGCATTCTGGTAGCAAATGCAGCAGTGCATATCAATGTGCTGCTGCCAAGTTTTTTATACTAAAAAAATATTACTTGTAAATTTAATAATAAATCTTGGTTGAAAATTGAAATAAATAATGACCAAGTGAGAGGAGCTGATTCAAAAAGCCTCATCAAATGATCTCTTTGTTTGATCTCATAGAAACAGGGAGAGGATCTTTGTACTTGAAAAACGAGCTAATTTTAAAATTGTTCACTAGCAATACATTAAGATTTATATTTGGGAGGTATTTAGAGAATAGATCTTTCAACTCCTTTGCCATCGTCTCAGATGCGGGGCCAAAGTAAGGCCCCGCTCTACGAATTTGCTCTACTTTCCATAGTATGCACACTGAATTTGAATATTTGCGCAGTATGTTCTCACTGAATGGGTTTCCTTCACAATTTGTGTATACTCAAATTAAGAAATTCTTGTCTAAACAATATGCTGAGGTGGTTCCCGAACGTGAGGATAGGAATCGTGTTTATTGTTCTTTTCCTTACTTTGGCCCCGCATCTGAGACAATGGCAAAGGAGTTGAAAGATCTATTCTCTAAATACCTCCCAAATGTAAATCTTAATGTATTGCTAGTGAACAATTTTAAAATTAGCTTGTTTATCAAGTACAAAGATTCTCTCCCTGTTCTTATGCGATCATCCCTAGTTTATCAATATAGTTGTGCGCAGTGCGCATCTGCCTATGTTGGTATGACATCACGCAATTTTTATACTAGGCTTGCAGAGCATAGGGGCAGGAGTTATAGAACAGGGAACATACTTGCGCATCCCCCTCATTCAGCCGTACGTATTCATGCCGAGCAGTGCAATGTCCCGGTGTCCAATAGTGATTTTAGAGTTTTAGCCTCCACAACCGGTGTTTCTGACCTACAAATTTTAGAATCATTATATATTTTTAAACAGAAACCCAGTTTAAATGCTGCATTCAGTTCCTATCCTCTACAAATTGTAAATAGATAGTACCTTCTCTACATGTCATCTC